ACTAATGTGTATTTTTTGTTGTCTAAGACATTTTTCATAATTAATATGTATTTGTAATCTTCATGTGTTTTCTATTTTTAATTTTAATTACTAAAATGAAAAATGGAAAAAAAAGGGCAGAGGTGGAGGTAATTACTACCACATTGTAATTGGGTTTTGAATTTTGAATTTTCTTTTAATTTCTTTACTTAAACTAGCCTCTCCACATACGCTTCCGCGTCTGTGAGAGGCTTTTTATAAAAAAAATTAAATTTATTTTAGAATTAAAAAAGATAATGGGTAATTGGGTTCCATAAAAATAGGATCCATTATTTGATTTTTCTTTTAATTAAAATTTTTTTTAATATGAAAAGGTGTGAATTTACCATATTATCCTCATTTTATTAATAATTTTAATTCTTAATGTTTGCATTAACCAATGGCCTTTTCTGGTATTTTGAATGTTTTACCATTCTCTGCCTTTTGCTTTATATATATAGATGATAAGTATTTCACCATTTTACCCTTAGAATGTTAAATAGATAACTTTTAGCAATTTAGTGAATCAAGGGTATATTTTGGATTTGTGAATGTTTTACCATTATTCTATGTTTCTCCCTTCATATATACTAAGCCCCTTGGAGTACGTTTTTATATTTTTTTATATTTTTTTTTAGAATTAAAAAAGATAATGGGTAGTTGTGTTCCATAAAAATAGGACTCATTATCTAATTTTGTTTATAATTTTAAAATTTTAAAAATAGGATCCATATTATCCTTATTTTATTAATAATTTCAATTTTTAATGTTTGAATTAACGAAAAGCATTTTTTGATATTTTGAATGTTTCACCATTCTTTGCCTTTTGCTTTATATATAGATGTAAATATAGATATAGATATAGATATAGATAAATCATCATATAAAAACACAGCTACTCTAAAACCTTTTAAGAAACTTTCCTTGGGAAAATAATAAAAGTGAATGTATACCAGTCCTTAGCCTTCCACCCAGAGAAATCTGCCACTTTCGCCAACGCATCTCTCCACTCTTGCACCTTCGTTTTTTCATCATAACTAAATCTTTCTTCCAGTTGTGTAAAGGCTTTCTCAAAACACCCCGTTTGTTTTCGTACATGAGATGGATCAACATAATAGAAAATTGGTAGCACTGCTTCTCTTGCTTCCATGAATTTAAGAATGTGTAGAAGTTCATCCAAGCACCATGTTGAGGATGCATAATTTTGTGAGAGGACAATAAGCGCAAACCTTGAACCTTCAATCGCAGCAATCAGTTCTCGAGAAATAGCTTTTCCCTTCGAAATTTTAGGCTCATCCCTGAAAGTTATGATTCCTTGAGCTCTCAATGTTTCATATAAGTGGTCT